TAAATAATCAATTAATTCATAATAATCGATTTTTACAACATAAATAATCGATTAAATGGTACTGACTTCGAACCACTGGTCTGAATAAAATTCTAATCGATTTTTAGTAAGTAAATAATCGATTTTCGGCTACTGTTCATCATCTTCTTCCTCGGGTCAGTTTCGAGTATTATGGTTTTAAAACACCAAACTTCAATTAAATTATATAGAAATGTTCTCCAAGGTTCATAGATCATTTTAGGATCATCAAAATATATTTTTAACATCAAATTCAATGTTTATGATTCTTGGTTCTTCAAACACGTCGAACACAAAACTCAACCAAATGACCATTTATGAACGTAAAAACAACCTATATGAACATTCTAATCTTTAGATATATCTACGGGCTTACCTCGAAGCTTATCGACGGTTTTGAGAATTTTCCGGCGAAACTTCCGGCGACTCTATCTCACTGCTCCGGCGACCTCACACAAATATGACAGCACCACTGCACTCTACTCTCAGGAAGGAACAATATAGAAGGAAGAATGAGTTGTTTTGGTGATGAAATGAGGGAGTTGGGTTGTCCTTAAATAGCCAAGTGAGGAAGGAAGAAGACATGGGTTGCAGCTTCCGTGATTGAGCGACGATTTGGAATCGGCGTAATTGAACAGGGCGCCGCTTGGTGTGTAGTCCCTGATTGGGACTAATTTTGGTCCCAGTTAGGGTACACTTTTTGTTCCAACTTTCTCCAAATTGAAATCCGATTGAACCGTTGGGATGAGACAGTCAAACTCTACATAATGATATGATTTTCATTATTTATTGACAAACCTTAGAATTTACTTATTTTTGGGTCCTTCTCAGTAATTAATTAATTATAAATTAATTAACTCTGATAGGCCTATTTTTGGGGCGTTACAGACCTACTGTGCGCGGTCGGAATCTGGACAGCCGTATGTGGATGCTAGATCTGATTCGCGACTGTATCCGGAAACGCAGGGGTGCTTTCCTCTGTACGGCTGCGATTGAAGCAAAAACAGGGACGGCGGCGATACCTCTGCTGCTAGGCGGTGGCAGGACTTGGGCTGTGGCGACTGGATGCGGTGGCGCACAGACGGATCAGCGGCTGCGATCTCCTTGAACCAGCGACGTCAATCTGAGGACGACGACGACTCCTCAACGCGGCGCGGCTCCTCAATTCGGAGGCGGCGGCGGCAGGTCTCTTAGAGCGACTCTCCCTCAGCGGCTCAGACCTGCGCGCGGCTACTAGCGGCGGTGAGTTCAATCTCGGATCCGGACGGCTGCGACGGCGGCTCCAACCCTAGGCTTGGATCGGCACGGCTGCGACGGTGGTGACAAGTTTTTTTCCCTTCAATTTGTGCTCGTATTGAACAATCTAGCTCCGATACCAATTGTTGGAAACAATCTTTTATTATAACTAGAAAATAACTCAAAACCAATTACAATAAACTCTCATATGTTTCTCATATCATAACCCAAGCTTGGCTAAGATATATATAGAGCTAAATAAGCCTAGGACCCACAATTCTATTCCTACTCGAACTAGAATATCTCGGGCAATCATAATCCTACTCGATAATTAGTCAACAACTTTGTCATATTTATTGTTTCCTACGGTAATTTTTTTTCTATTACATAATAATTCCATATATTATACTCCGTATCATAACTGGTAATTAAAATTATTCCTTTTCAATTAATAAATTTACTACTTATAATACCGTGTTCTTGTTTTAAAGAGACATATGTCAAATTCTTAGAGTTAGGAGTCTCAAATTTATATATGAAGGATTATATTATGATTGGGAGGTCACTACTATGTTCATCATGGATCTTTTAGCTCATTAATGAAAGTTTTTTTCCTTTAAAAAATTAAATTTACTTCATTACTAAAAAAATATATTTACTCATAAGTTTCTGATGGGCCGATATCCAGAGGACGGCCCAAATGAACCATTTAAACAGCTTCGGGTCAAGCACCTGTGAAATACTCAAGCTGGGCCTAGTTAACCTAAGGCCAAGCGCAGCTGGCAGAGTCAGTCCGGAGAAGGAGACGGAGCTGGTTGGCCGTTACGGAGCCGGGAAAAGGGGATCGCGCCCTTGGCGGGCTAGACTCCATCGGTTATGCTTCACCTTAATTGTTGAGAGCTCGTGTATAAATAGAAGGGACCCGAAAGGGGAGAACTCAAGCTAAATCAAGCTAGTAATGCACATCCAATTCTCGAATTCTTGTTCTTAATTTTGTTCTTGCGATCCGCTCTGTAAATCGGATCATTTGGTGGATTTATTGTCCATCAAATTGGTGCTCTCGTTGAGAGTTCGAGAATCATACTCGGAAGAAATCCTCCACAACGACGATGGTGCAAACACGTAGCAATGCCAACGTAGGTACCGGAGTTCCCCAACAGGGGGAGAATAGCGCCACCGGAGGTCGGCACCCCCCCATCACCACCGGGGAGGCTGAGGCCCTCATTCAGAGGGTTGGGATCACGACCGAACAATTCAAGGAGGTGCTGGCCGCACTTGCGCCCAACCGCGAGGTAGTGGTGGGAGATGTGGCTGGGGGACCCACAGGCGAGAAGGCTGGACCTGCGGGCTCCCAAGGAAAAAAGAAAAAAGTGAGGC